TGCAATGCAATTTAGGTGTCAATGTCCAATGTGCAATTTAGGGTTGTGCATGCGCGCGCGTGTGTGTGTGTGTGTGTGTGTGTGTGTGTGTGTGTGTGTGTGTGTGTGTGTACATAAACCACAATACAGAAATATTACTGACACTGAGAATGCCCTAGGCCTTGGGAGGCTCATAGGAGCCTCTTACCCCATCACATCCAGCTTTCAGTTCTGGCTGTACCAGAACTGGCTCAGGAATGTGAGGGAAGGGAATAGCAGGCTTTTTGGACCACCAGCCAGCTCCCAAATCATGACATAGAGATTTATTAATTATGAATTCCCAGCTATAGCTTAGGCTTTTTTCTAGCTAGCTCTTTTATTAATCTATGTGCTACCTCGAGGCTTATTTACCTCATCTATGTACTGTCCATTCTGCTTTTCTGCTTCCTCCATGGCTGCCTGGCTCTCCTTTCTCTCTGCCCATCCCTCCTCTGCCTAGCTATTGGCCATTCAGCTTTTTATTAGACCAGTCAGGTGCCTTAGGCAGGCAAGGTGAAACAGCAACACATTTTTACACAGTTAAACAAATGTAACTCATCTTTACATAGTTAAACAATTACTCTACAACACATCTTTACATAGTTAAACCATTACAACACATCTTTACAAATTAAACAAATATTTTATTCCACAACAGAGGGGAGCCAGAGCAAGAACTTGGGAAATGCTTGTCTGGTAATTCTGACAGCCAACCATACCCTCCTCACTCTGTCCTAGGTGACAAACAGATATATACTTGTCAGCATGAGCAGGAGACAGGGAAGTAATAGCAGGGCAGGGCAGTGTGAAGGAGCTAAACCTGGCTTAGGGGAAAAGCTTAACAGAACAGGACCATGCTATAAGGACAGGGTAAAGACTGAACAAAAAGTGCTTTATAATAGAGACCACAGCAGTTGGCACTGCTCAGGTTGGGCGAATCACCTCAGGGATTTCAGTATGAATGCATCACCACACTCAAGATAACACAACCACCAACAAAATCATCCTCAAAATCAAGAGGGGACTAAATAAGATTTCTTTATTAAACTGCTAACAGAGGGAAAGGTAACTGTTTCAATGCATTTCTTCCCCATGTGATTCTGAGTCTCTGCTTCTCTGAAAACGATGCTGAGCAACAACACAGCTGAGTAGGAAAGTGGACAGGAGCCTGGCACACACGGCAGCCAGGAAGATGAGGACACCAGTGCTCAGGGGTCTGGTAGCTGAACTTGGCTCTCTACAGGGGTGAAGAAGTCTGACACCTATTTCTGGCCCCGTTGGGCATGAGACATAAATGTGCTGCATATATATAAAAGCAGGCAGAACACAGATGTACACAAAAAATACAAGGAACAAGTAGCTAAGAATGGGAGTGTGGTGGTTTGAATAAGAATTGCCCCCACAGACTCTTACATCTGAATAAGAATTGCCCCCACAGACTCTTACATCTGAATAAGAATTGCCCCCACAGACTCTTACATTCAAATGCTAACTGAGTGGTGCTATTTAAAAGGATTAGGAGGTGTGGCTTTATTGGGGTAAGTGTGGCCTGGTAGAGGAAGTGTGTCACTGGGGGTGGCTTTGAGGTTTCAAAAGCCCAAGCCAGGCCCATTGGTCTCTCTTTCTACTGCCTTTGGATTCAGATTTGGTTACTTCCATTCGTCCAGATGGTTCCAGTTCTTGTTCCAACACCAAGTCTGCCTGCATACCTCCAATCTCCTTGCCATGATGACTACAGACTAAACTTGTGGAACTGTAAACAAGTCCCAAATAAAGAAAGGCTTTCATTTACAAGAGTCTCCATACTCATGGCGTCTCTTCACAGCAATGGAACACCAACACAGGGAGCTCATATGCAGTCTCCTCACAGAGCTCAGAGCACCCAAGGTGGACCCGTCTGCTTCTGGGCCATGAGACATGGGCAGGAGGCATTTTAAATGGCTAGGTCTACTTCTGTTGTGCTTTACAACGGGCAACCGTTCATCTTTATTGTCATCCACTTGCTGGGATCTAGAATCACTCTAGAAAGAAATATCTGGGCATCTGTAAGAGAATGTCTAGCCTGAGTTACCAAGAAGAGAAGAACCACCCTGAATGTGGGTGGCAGGAGCCCTCCTTTGGGGTCCCAGACTCAATTATAAAAGGAGAAAGTGAGCCCAACATTGCATTCATCTCCCTCTGAAGTGGTACTTTAGATTTCGTTTGATTTCTCTGCCAGGATAAACTGTCTCTCTCTGCGTCCAGATAAGCCATTTCTTCCTTAAGCTGCTTTCATTGGGTATTTTGCTACAGCAAGGAGAGGAGCAGACAATACACAAAGTAACTTACAAAACTAGGAGCATGGGGAGAGGGCCCAAGACACAGAAATGTAACAGCCTGGTGGGTATTCCACAAAATGAATGTGAAACTTCTAATTCAGTAAACACCTAATATAAAAACAGGGCAGTGAATAACACAATACATAATCAAGCTGAGAATCAGAATTAAGACAAAACACTGCAGTGGGGAAAAGGCTAAGTCACCGCTGGCTTCTATTTAGAAATGAATTTCTAGCATTAAATGTTCCTTTTCAATTTGGTTTGGGTCAAGAGGTTATTAACACCATAAAAAAAAGTTAATGGAAAAGTATGGTCTAGGACAAAAATATGTTATTATATTTTGTGGAAATGCCTACTTTGGGGAAATTATTATCTCAAAAACAGCCATTCCTAAGTCTGTTAAAGGATAGCCAATTACATCAAAACCCATCTCCTATTGGATTTTATTTTTCAATTAGTAGAACTTGTGAGACAAGAGCACAAGTTATAATATAAAAAGCACATCTGTCTCCACCTGCTTGCAAAGGACAAAGGACATAACATTTCCAGATTTATTTAAAATATGATGAATATTTACATTATCCACCAATCTGAAATCTGCAACCAAAAGCAGACCAGCAGAATACATAAGAACAAGAACATATATAAAATACGACTTTTAAGATAAAGAATACCCAAAGCACACATAGACAACAGTACAAATGGGGGCCCAATTAAAAAAGATGTTTGTGAACTGTCCAGAATGGCAGTATAGAGAGGAGACGGGAAGGAAATGGGAAAGACTGAAATGCAGCTAACTCTCCAAGCTGAAAACCATGTTTTCCAGCTCCATGTGTGGCCACTGATGGGGACCTTGCAAGTGAGTCAGTCCAAGCCAATAGGATGCAATAAACAGGGTGTGGAGATTTCACATGGGGCAGGCCCTTCTTTCCTGCCCTGGAAGAGGAGGTGTGAAGGCTGGACCTTCAGAAACCACCGTAGACAATGGAGTGTCCCTACTGTGGTGGTAGACACACATGCTTCAGAACTGGAAGATGGACTCAGCCAAGGTCCCTGACATAACACTCTAAATACTTCCTCTGAGTATCATGTCATGAAACTGCTGACTGAATCTGTTACTTCCTAACAAAACACAAATGGTTCACAGGTGCTGAACAATGGAATTTGAGTTTCACAGACAAACGTTTACAGATACAAGTCAGTCTTCTCTCTCAGTGTCTCAGTTAACGTCTGAAATTACTACATGGAAGGCCCAGAAACAAACAATTCATAGGCCTCACATGGCTCTCGTGGTAAAATCTCACGATGTCCCACTTTGTCCCTCCCTGTTCCACACCTTTTGTCCAGCATGTCCACACTGTACGTGCTACCTGCCCCTTAGGCGCTAAGGCCATCTCAGTTACCAGATTGAAGCATCTCAGTTAACAGTGATAAACAGTGCCCGGAAAGATGGCTCGGGAGGCAAAGACACCAACAACCAAGCCTGATGATTTGAGTTTGATCCCCAGGACACACATGGAGGAAGGAAAGAACCGACTCCCAGACTTTGTCCTCTGCTATCCACAGTCAAGCCCTGGCATGTATGTGCCCCCTCATACAAACACAAATGAATAAAAAGTAAATAAATTAACAGTGGCCCACTGATCCTCCATACTTAAACACTTAAAATATGTGTTTTACTTAACATGTGCATCTATCAAGAAACAATCTGTTATCTTGGTATTAGTTTAGTTTCATTTAAAATGTTGTTATAGCACATGCTATGGTAATTTTTTTCAGAGTATACTGTAGTTATTTTAGTTATTATTAATGTCCTCATCTTTAGGATACAAGATATATATAAGAATTGGTAAAATCCATTCATTGTTTCATACCTTGTTGTAAAAACAGTAACCTGTTACTGGAATGACATTATCTTATTACAGTCTGGCACGACAGTGAAACATTAGCCCTAAAGATGAATATGCTATACATTTATGGTAGGAAAAACACACTTAATCAGCTTACTAATAGGGTACATCCTCAAAGTCCACAAAGATGAATGTAAAAAGGGCAACCTCCCCCAATATACTTGAAAAAATCTTGCTTGGAAGGCTTGCCTAGTGATCTATGTATTGAATAACAAAATAGTACAGAATAGTCATAACTCTCCCCAAATAAAAGCAAATTAATAAATTTTAAATTGGTCTTACTGCACAGAATAACTATACCCCTAATTACACAAACGGACATAAGTTTCTGCAGACAGGGAATGGCCTAGACTTCTAAAGACCTCAAGAGCAGCACTCTTAGCCCTGTTTCCTCTGACCTTTGACTTGTGACTTGGAACTTGATTCCCAAGTCATGCTGTCTCCTTCCAGATCTGCAGATAACCCACCAGAAAGGGTTGGTGTAGGGGGAAATGGTGACCATGCCCGCTTGGGGGCTGGCACAGGTGATGCTGACCACGCCCAAGTGTGCATGGTCAGAGTGACGTAAATATCAGGGACCCACACATGGGGCTCTCTTTGCCCTCTCCTGCCTGGCTGTACAGTGCTGGCTCCGTCACGTGAATACTTTCTAATAAACCATCTGTTTTCAAACTAGTTCTGACTCCATTGTGATCCGATTTAATTGCGTTCCACTTTAGGTTGGAGCTCCCTGGGAGCAAGGACCTGCACCTACCTTCCCACTGGCCAGTCAGCACCAAGGTCCTGTTAATGACCACGTCGATTTCAGTAGCTCCATCCTCCACCGCCAGTCTGATCTCTTCCAGTCGTGTCTTCAAATGAGTCTGTCCAGCTGGAAAGCCAGTGGCCACTGGGAGAGATTTAAAAGAAAGAAAACAGGGAGGGTAGGATAAGGGAGGAAAGAAAACAAACGTCAACTGGTCAGTTGGTAAGCACAGTATTTAGAGAAGACAGCATGAAGGGTACCTTCATGTCACTCACGCAACACAAGGCAATGTGCAGGGCAGACTGCGGGCGCATAACCGACTTGGGGGACATAGTAACATGATCCTGTCTAGGAGAGCAGAGTTCAGTTGTTGCAGAGATTCAGTAAGTAGCATCTAACTAAACATGCCAGCTGACAGGAGCAAAGTCACTGGTGCACTTTACAAGATGGACACTGGTTCAGTCAAGCTGGCTGCACTCACACATTTGTCCTGACCTGATCTCCACTTCCCCATGAGTGGACTCTAGAGCAACCAGAGGAGAAGACAGAGTCCCCAGTGTCTCCAGTTAACACAACCAGCGGCAGCAGGGAGGAGCCAGACAGAAAGGAGAGCACCTGTCACTGTAGAGAAGGAAAAACAGGCAGGGGAGGGAGGGGAAGCACCTGTCCCTGCAGGGGAAGAGGGGAAGCACCTGTCCCTGCAGGGGAGGGAGGGGAAGCACCTGTCCCTGCAGGGGAGGGAGGGGAAGCACCTGTCTCTGCAGGGAAGGAGGGGAAGCACCTGTCCCTGCAGGGGAGGAGGGGAAGCACCTGTCCCTGCAGCAAAGGGCCAAGAATGTGCGAAGAAAAAAAGAACACACATGTACAGTTTTGAGAACCAGAAGTTTTCCCCATTCACCCCATCTCTGACTAAGCATAAGCATGGCTAATGTCCTTTCCTACAGTTCCAAACTCCTCAGGTCTGCTGTTGTAGACCACACCCATTCCCCTGTTGTGTAGATGAGAAGCTAATGCCCTGAAATGGTGAAGACTATGGACTACAAAGGGACAGTTGTCAAATACGCTGGCCATCCTCTCACACAGGCTATGTACGAGCGTGGTACAGGAGCTGGAGCAATGGCTAGGTGATTAAAAGCAGGCTGCTCTTCCGAAGGACCCATCTTCCACCCCAGCACCCGCATGGGGCTCACACTGTCTGAACTCATTTCAGAGGAGCTACTTCCTCTGGCTTCTGTGAGTGCTCACAGGGACTTGACTTACAAGAACCCACGCAAGCACAAACAACATAAAAAATAAATCTTAAAAGATGCAGGACATCATGTTTCATTAATAAAATAAGTAACTGATCTTTACACATTTTCCCTTTTTGTTTTCTTTTTAAGACATGCTCTTTCCATGTAGCCCAGGCTGGCCTTGAGCTAGTAGCAATCCTCCTGCCTCAGCCTCCTAAATGGTAGAATTATAGGCATGTCCCACCATACCTGACTCAGACTGTTCATTTAAAGTACCAGGACATTTTTTGTAGCCTTTTTGAAAACTAGAATCTAAAACTGTGTGTCTCTACTTATTCATAGACACATGCATTGAGGCTTTTTATAGCCTGCTTTATTTCATTTCTCATTTCATATGTGTGTGTGCATGTTCATGTGAGGTCAGACGTTGGCTGGCTCCTTCCACTGTGTGAGCTTCAGGGATCCAACTCAGTAGCCAGCCGTGACGAGAGGCACGTTTACTTCACTAAAATCATGAACCAACATAACTAAATTTATGAAATCAATGCAATCACAGTATAAATGTATGGAGGACACTCCATGCTGAGTGTGCTAAAGAATCCCCGACATGTTGAAAAGCAAAAGTAAAACCTACTGCAAGTCTTACCTGATGCCACAGGGATGCTGCAGCTTGCGGCCTTCAGCGCCTTCACAGCGTCGCATACCCGGGCAGGATAAACACAGACGGCCGCTGTGGTGATGCCTATGAAGGGGAGCATAGCAGCCTACTTTACCTGGGTTCGGCAAAGACACTACACCTTGAATTATCATTTCTAGGACAACACTGGCAGAAATCAAGACTTTCCCCACACAGCTGCAGCAAATGGAGGGGTCAGTTTCATTTTTGACGTTTGTTTATCTTCTGTGTGTGCACAGGTCACAGCAACATGTGGGAGTCAGGGGACATCACAAATGTGGGTTCTCTCCTTCCCACCATGTGGGTTCCAAGGATCAGACTCAGGTTCCTACACCAGCAGGCTTGGCAGCAAGCCCCTCTCCTCTTGAACCTTCTAACCCCTGAAAAGCTTTCTCCGCTGCTTTTTCTTCCAGCTCCTGGAAACACAGATGGATTTTTGATCTTTCTAGTCACAGAAAAGTTCTGAGAGAGACACCGTTCTTTGAGGCTATTTAACACAATTCAATTATTCTCCTCCCAATTCCTAAACAGTATACTTAGCTGAAAATATTTTATTTCATGCACATCACAAATCTAGTTTTACATGACGTCTGCACAGGCAGCAGATGAATAAAAATGCAAAGGAAACTCAGGGTGACTCAATAAAATGGGGTCTAAACTTCCCCCTTTATAAGAAACAGTAAGATGCTGTGGTGGTTTAAATGAACAAACAACACCCCCGACCCCCCACTCCCTATGGCACTATTAGAAGGTGTGGTCTTGTTGGAGTAGGAAGTTGCCTCATTGGAGGAAGTGTGTCACTGGGGGTGGCCTTTGAGGTTTCTGATGCTCAAGCCAGGCCCAGTCTCTCTCTCTCTCTCTCTCTCTCTCTCTCTCTCTCTCTCTCTCTCTCTCTCCCCCACCCCTGGCTGTCTGTGGATCTGGATATAGAACTGTCTGTTCCTCCTCCAGCACCATTCTGTCTGCACGCCGCCAACCTTCCCGATATGCTGATAATGGACTAAACCTCTGAACCTGTAAGCCAGCCCCAGTGAGATAAAACTTCATAAAAGTTTTATCTTTATAAAAGTTGTCATAGCCAGGCAGTGGTGACGCAGGCCTTTAATCCCAGCACTCAGGAGGCAGAGACCCGCAGATCTCTGTGAGTTGGAGGCCAGCCTGGTCTACACAATGAGTTCCAGACTAACCAGGACTATATAGAGACCCTGTACAAGGCAGGTAGGTGGGAGGTACAGGAAGGGAGGTAGAAAGGGAGGTGGGAAGGGAGAGAGGGAGAAAGAGAGAATAAAAAGAAAATATAAAAGATCCAAATAGCCAGTACAAAACCAAAGAACATTAATACTCCATAAAAATGCATTACCTTTAGTGCTATAAAAAGTTGGGCGTTTGTGGTCTGAGCTTTGATTACACCTTTGGGAATGAAGCCAGGGCCTTTAGCACTCAACAGTGAGCTGCATCTCTGGAGCTAATGTTCTAATGTCAATTGGAAAGAAATACGATCAACAGCTTTCTAAAGCCATGGAGCTGCTTAGGTCTACTAAGAGCCCACAGATTATCCATGATGCTTGCACTGGGCTAGCTCAGCACTTTTCCCTGTACACACAGAAACTCCAGAGCCAAGAAGCATCAATTCTGAATCCCCAAAGGGCTCAGCAAGCGAAAACATTCATGGGGCCCTGGCAGCACCACCTGGCTCCCCAGGATTTGGTTTTCTCAGAAAATAGAAAGACTGAGCCTGAAGAGATCGCTTAGTGGTTAAGAGCGCTGGCAGTAATTCCAGAGGTCCTGAGTTCAACTCCCAACAATCACATGGTGACTCACAACCATCTGTAATGATATCTGGTGCCCTCTCCTGGCACACAGGTGTATATGCAGACAGAACACTATATGCATAAAATAAATAAACCTTAAACAAAGAAAATAGAAAGATCACCACACCGCCGCCACCCCCAGTCTCCTCCATGTTTCAAATAAGCTCAAAACTCAGGGCATCTTCTCAGCACTTTCTTTCATGGACACTAAGAGAGTGACAGGAGTCTTTGTTTGGGGTTTTTGTTTTTGTTTTGTTTTAAGTTCTAACCTAATGCAGAGCACTTTCCATTTGAATTTTACTCTCAAATGCCTTCCATTTACCCCACGAATGTGATGTGACCAGTAAGCAATGAGGCTGGCTTTCCCCTCGTGTCTAGGGACACCCTCATGGCTAGGGACTCAGAGCCTGTATTTCAACCACTAGATAGAAAGGTTCCCAAACTGAAGAACAAAGGAAACTCAACCAACAACTTCAGTTCATAGATGCAAAACCTGCCCTCAATCCAAGACTTGGAATGTCTTCAGCCTTTGGAAGAGGAATCTCAGTGGTCTGTCTACACACACAGAGCAAAGACCGACCAGGGGCAGGACGCCACAGCACATGAGCAGGTGCTCAGCAAGTCCCGGGGATCCAGCAATAACCACTGTCACCAGGTAAAGGCAGCCAGACTTTACCCTCCTCACCTTTGTCGTGCATATTTAAAGCTTTTAAGAGGTCTTGCCGGATTGGATATTTGGTTTTGGAGCAGAGCCGTTGAACATTAGAGAACGTGTCATCCCCAGAAAGTGTGGTGAGGTCTATACATGTAACAGCCTTCAGGAGCCACGCAGCCTAGAGGGGGAGGAGAAATGGGGGAATAAAATGAGGGTGAGCCTCGAAGCTTGTAGAGAAACGTGAGACAAACATGAGTGCGAACTGCTGGGATCATGCGGCTATAAAGTATTTTCTGATGCAGGGTATAAGCAGAACTCAAAAACGACCAAGAGAGGCCAGCAAGATAGCTCGGCAAGGAAAGGAGCTTGCCGCCGCCGAGCCTGAGGACCTGAGTTCTATCCCCAGGGCCTCACCTGGAAAGAGAGAGCCAACTCCTACAACTTGTTCTACTTCCCCATGTGTGCTGGGTGTACACACACACACACACACACATACACACACACACACACACACACACACACACACACACACACACACAATTTAAATATTAAATTATGTTTAAAAGAATGGCAATCAAGATGAACATTACCCAGAATAAAGCAAAAGAACAGACTTCATGTACTTTTGTTCTCAGAAACTCCAAACTGAAGCTTCTACTCCACCAACTCCTGCCATTTCTCCAGTTCATTGGCTGGGAACCAGCCACAAATGTGGCACTAAGGGATCTACCTCCATTTTACTTTCCTCCCCAGGAGCCAAGGTGATGCAATGTTTGCTGAACTCTCCCAGTTCCTTGGTTTTTATTTTTATTTTTTCAATCCAATTCCATTATTAAAACAACCCTCATATTTTCTCACTCACTCTAAGAAAATTTTCCTTTTATCTTTTCAACCAGGATGAACAGAATGGGAAATGTTACTTGAAAGGCCTCCGTCCCAACGTTCTGCTCCTCTTGTGAACTGAACCCCGAAGGCCTTTTGGCCTGCACAGCACATCTCGTTCTGCCAGGCACTAAAGATGCTGACTGGAAGTGTGCCACCAAATATCACTTTTGGAATTTTTTATGAAAAGCAGTAGTGAAGTAAACTCCCCTACCTCGGGCCTCAGTGGTGGACACACCAGGTGAAGATGTTTATGGCTTTAAAATTTAAAAAGAAGACAGCTGAAGAAAGCATGGCTAAGAACTGAATAAATGTGTTGAGGAAATGTGCCGTTTAATTCGCTCATGAATAAAGATGCCTCAAATTCATTTGCGGTTTAGCCACTCAAGAGTGATAAGATTCTTCACTTGTTTGGATAAATGCGTTATCTTTCTCCAACCCATCATCATCATATATGAATTATTAAAATAAGCCATGGACAGCTGCAATCCTTTAAGTTTAGATGCATCTTGAGCGAAATCCAATACTGTGGCCTTGAGGGAAGAGGCACTGTGAGGTGTGGGGACAGAACGCTCACGAGGGAGCCTGCACCTGCCACTCCTTCTTCACGCTTCTGCGAGCCTGGATCTGTTCTGCCCGCCTCAGAACAGCCGCCTGGTTCACTTGAACTCTGGAGATCCAGCTGAGATCTAGAAGGGAAAGAGTGACGCTTGTAAGTTTTAAAACAGACATACCCTTCCTTCATTACCAGTGCTCTTTTAAAACATTGTCTTCGGGGAGGCGAGATGGCTCAGTCAGCAAAGCACTTGCTGTGTGAGCCTGATGTCCTGGGTTCCATCCCCAGAACCAACTTCAAGGTGGAAAGAGAGACGTGACTCCCTAAAGGCATCCTTTAACCTGCACCCACGCTCTGTGGTATGCGTGAGTCTGCACATCATACACGTACACAAAATAATAAATACATTTTTAAAGTCGTGCTTCTTTCTCACACAATAACAACCTTGTAGTAAACCTGGTCATCACAAGACACCTGCAAGCAAAATGGAGGGCATCTGAAACTACAATAAGCCACACTGATTAATTACAGCCCTAAGCACAGCAGTGGGTGTGCCTCCTCCCCAGCACACGAGTCTCACCTCTGACAGAGAAGACTTATTTGTGAGTGTCTAGTCCAGGAGAGCAAATGATTAATACATACTTAAGTGAATTAGTGAATACTTGCGGGCATCTTTGATCACTCCCCACTTACTGACAAGATTAACACCTGCTAGATGCTGATGATACAGCCCATAAAAAGAGAATTTTTCAAAATGTACTAGAAATAACAACACTGTAGCAGACATTCAAAACACTGAAGGAAAAAAAAAACCCACTCAAAGATGCATGAGACATGTTTCAACATGGTGGCCTCCCCTGTGTTGTCTGTTTTGTTTGACACTAGCTATATGGAGCTAAATGACCTTGGAGGAAAAGTCAGTCAGCTTTCCACAAGACATTTAGATGCATCTCTGCCGCAGCACTTAGATGGATTTTTGAAGAGTAGAACTGGAACGGCTTCTTGTTTGTACTTAATTCAGTGTGAGTCATGGTCTCAGCCTTAAGAGTCCAGTGTCTGGTGCCCATGACTTTCAATTCCACCCATGGGTCTCTGGCAGCAAGCAGCCTCACCACGGAAGCTAGATGTACATTCATTCATCTGTTGTAGCTGGCCTTACTTCTACATCCCTGCCCCTCCTGCAGGAGCCTCAGGGTTTTGAACATGCGTCTTAAGAGACAATGATGGGCGAGGTGTAACCATTAGGAAATGCACGTCAATCACACAGCTCCCTAATGGGTGTGGGAACTGCTGACTACACACTGTACTGTGCACCAGCCAGACGAACTGACTACAGACTGTACTGTGCACCAGCCACATGAACTGACTCTGTGACCAAATACCTACCGGAAACACCTAAGGAAAGAGGGCTCACTTTTTCAGCCCATGGTCACACAGCCCTGTGTATGTGGAAATAACATCATTGCAGTGGAATCGGGAATGAAGGAAAAGTGTTCGCCTATTGATCAACCAGGAAGCAGAAAACGTCTTAAGTCAGAAAAGAACCCAAGGTTGTTGAGATGGCTCAGGGGGTAAGGGTGCGCTTGCCACCATCCCTGACAACCTGAGCTCAACCGGGGAACACATGACAGAAAAAGAGAATGGACTCTGGAGATATATCCTCTGACTCTACACATAGGTACCTGCACAGCAAAGCGGTCGCACATACACACACGCACACACGCACAGACGCTTGAGCACACACCCACGGTGAAAGGAAGGAAGGGAAGGATTGAGGGACCAGGGCATGATAGATACTCAGCTGCCAGTGACCTTCTTCCCAGAAGACCAATCTTCTACCTTTTACTGAAGGGACCAGCTCCCCATTTCGGCAGCCATGACAGTAACTTGTGCTTGCCATGACCTTGTCTTAGTCACTAAGATCTGATGCCTGCCCCTTTCAGCAGCCATGACAGTAACACATGCTTTTTCTGACCTTGCCTTGGTCACTAGAGGTTAGGCGCCTGCCTCGTGTCAAGGAACCAATCAGAAGTTACCTGGAGGAAATAGGATTTATTGCTCTGGGTGTGCTTTACGGCCAAGTACACAGCAATGGCACGCAGAGCATAGCAACCTCCCTGGGAGGGCCTATGGGCCATAACAACCAGTTGACCAATCAACACAAGGCAAACCCTCCAAGCCTGAAGCCACACCAATCCTGAGCCTGTGCGTACCCCTAGACACTCCCCTTGTGCTGCCATATAAGATCTCTATGCAGATACTTTGAGCTGTTTTTCCTAGCCATCCGCCATGGCGGGTGGGTGAAAGACCCAAGCTAACATGGGGTTAGCCCGTTAAATTACAATAAAGCCTTGTGCAGTTTGCAGCAAGTTTTTGAATCCGCGTGGTGATTGGGGTGACAGCGGTCCTGGGCTGGGATCCTGGAGGCCTGAGTTTTCCTGGGGTCTAACATTACTACCTGTCATTAATGTCATCATATGAATTATGAGCCCATCGAGGGATTCATTCATTCATTCATTCATTCATTCATTCATTCATTAGGTCAGAACCTTCATGATCTACCTGTCTGTGGAGATGCCCACACGGTCACGGACACCGCTGTACTTCAGCATCCCTCAGTCTTATCACACTGACAACCACACCTTGGCTCCAGTGACACAATCCTAAAGAGTTCACTCTTCACAAAGACAAGACCTGGGCCCACCAGGACAATCGGTAGGTCCCCATCAAAAGCACTTTCTTTCCCATTTCCATCTGCAGGTTCTTACAAGTATCAATACTAATGGTGCAGAAATTCCAAATTTGAGTAACAGTGACTTACAGAAATATTATTCAATATCACTACAGTAGGAACCAAGCTCGGTTTGTTTTTTTTTTTTTTTTTCAATTCTGGTTAAATTATTTTGTTAGCTGAAATCATATAGTAAAACAGATTTTCAACATTTTAATCCATCTGTTCTGCTCCTTAAGATATCACTTTGCCTGGCTTCTTTGCTGAGGCACCTCGACAGAAAACAGACGCTTGGGCCAGGCAGACTCCTGCCCTTCTTCCTACCCAAAGGTAAAGCGGATTTGAGGCAGAGTCCTGGAAGCAACAGTAAACAGAGACAAAGATGTACACAGCTCATTTAAGACTTAGAAGAACCGGGCGGCAGTGGCGCACGCTTTTAATCCCAGCAGAGGCAGCCGGATCTCTGTGAGTTCCAGGACAGCCTGGTCTACAGAGCAAGTTCTAGGGCAGGCTCCAAAGCTACTGGAAAAGCCTGTTTCAAAACAAACAAACAAACAAAAAAAGAGTTAAAAGAACCAGTCTCCACCCAAATGGGGGGAGGCTTAAACAAACAGATAAACAAAAACTGACCATTTGACCACAACTACAGGCGATTAAGTTCATGGTTGTTTCAGGTGGACAGTAAAGCCAAGAGTTGTATAGAATCATAAGGTTCATGGCCAAAAAGCTGAAGCCATCCATCCTAGGGCTCTTTTCTCAAAGCGCCCTTTTCACCCCTCACACCCGAGTTCCCCCGCTGGTGGGAGATCTCAAGCAAACCCCAAGGGCCGGCCACCCCTCAACTTTCTCACAGACATCTTCCTCTCCTTCCCTCTGGCACTGGGCTTCAGTGCTCCTCAACAACAGCAGTTTCCTGATTTGGTGTTTTACGTTCTGTGTCTGGGTCTTGTGTCCTATTTGTTCCTTCCACCCAGAATGCCCTTCCTTACCATGTACGAACAGTGAACTCCCACCAACCTGTTAAGACTCAGGTCAGGGACTGAGGACAGACAGGTGATCAAGCCCTTGACTAGCGGCCTGGAAACCCATATAAACGAGCCACAGTGAGATACACTTGTAATCCTAGCATGTGGAGAATGGAAGTGTATGAGGTCATCCTTAGACAAAACAGCAGATTCAGGGCTAGCCTGGGCTACATGAGACCTGTATCAGAAAAGAGAGGAAAAGGGGAGGAGGGGAGGGGAGGGGAGGTCCCCTCCCTTGGGAACCTTTCTAATGTTTACAAGTTGTACATTCTTTGTGCTCCCCTCTTCTAAGAGACTCTGCCCTTCACCTGGAATAGCACTGACAATGCTAACCTCTTTGTTTAACACCTCCAATAGGTGTTTAGAATCTCAAGCAAAGTGTATGACAGTAGGCGGTACTCAAGTAAGATGAGGGGTTCAATAAGTCCAGAAACTGGCTCATCGCATCCTCCCCAGGTCACAAAGGACTTGGGACCTAGAGAAAAGAAAAACGATGAACGCCTGGATGGGATGCCTGGGCACATTCCCCTTAAAAACTAATCTCCAATGCAATGCCCTCCCACCTAAGGGCAGAACCCACGAGGCCAATGCTCACATTGCTTCTACCACTTGCCACAGGTCCCTGTGAGGCATCCACCGGAGAAAGTAACAGGAATTACCTCTCCCAGGACCAGCTTCGGCTGCTAAAAATATCATTAATGCTCATAAAATTACCCAGCCCCATATTTAATCCAGACACAGAATTTGCCTGTGTGACCTCCCACGGCAATGAATTATATAAGTGACGATCTCATTTTATTAGCACTTCATTTGCTACCCTTTAATTTCGTCAAATAACCCTTGTTCTCCTATTATGGGGTCTGGGGAAGAAAGGATTGTGTGACCTTTGTTATGTCCTTCATAACTCTTAATATTCCATTCAAGTACCCTTTAGCGTCTCCTCGCCAGGAGAAACGACTCTAATGCACACACTCTCATCAGGACCATAGAATCTTCTGCTTCGAAGGCCATGACAGGTTTCAAGTTCATGTGTCTTTGGGGAGAACAGACATGAAACTGAAATTGTTAGGCAGCAATGCCCCTACTTACACTTTCTGATGACAAAAACTCGACAGTTTTTCTCAGAATGTCACTTTGGTGACATTCAGGTCCTCTGCCAGTTATTAATTTGTTCTCAAATACTTGTCTCTTTCTCTATTTTTCTGGTTTGAGTCTCAGAGGACAGGGGAGCTTTCTATTCTCCCCCGCACTTTGTTTTCACTTGTTTGGGGTCTTTCGAATAACCCCTGACCCACATGGTATGAAATAACTACCCTACATGAGGAGAAACACGTTGACTTTGCCTTTGTTCCTAAGAGACAAAAATCATGACATTTG